GCCCATTTTGTGGTGAGATCGTGGTTTTTGTCGTCGTTGGAGTGGTAGTGGCGGCTGTGGTTCCGGGTTTGGGTGGTGTTGGCGGTGGTTGTGTGTGCTGCGTGTGATTTGTGACTTAGTGGTGGTCACAAACGATTTTGGTGGTGGTCACAAACGATTTGATTGTTTGTGACCATTAATTATTAATTGTGACCAAAAAATTATTAGTTGTGACCTAAAAATTATTAATTGTAACCAATAAATTGATAAATTGTGACTTAAATAAGTATTGTGATTTATAAATTTTGGGATATGTGACCGATGAACAAATTGTGACTTTTAAATTTCTAAGTATTGACCAATAAATAAATTGTGACCTATGAAAATTTTGAATTGTGACCTAATTGTACAGATTTGTGACCTTAATATATTCACCGGAATTGGATCAGTCGTCGGGAAAGTCGTCGGAGAAAAGTGGTGACCTAAACGGTCGTCGGAATAGTTTCGAAGTTGTAGGGGTGGTGGAGGTGGGGGTGGGTTAATTATTTTATAGTGGAATTAAATATTAATAATAAATTAATTTAATAATAATTATTTAAATAATTAAAAATTTAAATATACCTGATTTTTGAAATTAAAAACGTGTTTTGGTATTTTTGAATTTATGTATTCTAAAACTGATATTTTCTTCATTGTAATGGTGTTCAGATACTGAAAATTGAAATCAAGGGAGCTAAAGAAGGGGAATGGAGGAGCAATTCATACTAAGAGTACCACCAGCAGTAGCGGAAAGAATTGAGCGTCTTCTGAACGACCCAACATCTTCTTCAGACGACAAGTCCTTGGATTTGAGCTTTTCTGGTATTTTACAAAAAGTTGCCCGATCTCCTTTTGAGCAATGTCCTTAGGAAATTCTTTATATTTGTTCAATTGTAGATATCGGTTTCAAGAGATGATGGTATTTTTTTTTTATCATTGAATATAAAAATGCACGATCAAAATTTGGCAGGTTAGGGATTTCGAATTGGAATCCTAAATGTGAATGTAACTTCAGAACCCTACCAACAAATCAATAATCTTTTAGTAACTAAATAACAGTTCAACTCATTTTACTTCCTTCTGGTTCTTCTTGATCGAGTTATACAAAATACATGATAGGAAAGTGATTCTTTTAGTTATTTTTTTCTGGCATTTGCTCACTGAATCACCCAGTCGGGATATTTGAGCCCTAGTCACTGAAAGGTGTTTTAACATTATCTTATGTGCTGAAATTTGTTGGCTTCATTCTTCTTCTTGTTTCCTTTGCTTTAGAGAAGCAGATACATCTTTCAAAAGAAGAAAAAATGATGCATGTCTCATGTAGAAAAAGATTCGTATATATTTATGTTTAAGTACATATTTGATAGAAGTGAACAAAGTAGTTATTTCCCAATGAGAGGATTCTTTTAAATCCACCGTAAGATTGTCTTAATTTCAACTACTCCTCTGTTAATGTAGAATTTTCTTATCCTTTCCAAACTCTGAATCACCCCCCGTTGGGATACTTGAGAGTTGAGCCCTAGGCACTTAAAGATATTTTAACATTCTTTTTATGTGCTGAAAATTTGTTGGCTACCAATCTTCTTCTTGTTTCCTTTGCTTTAGAGAAGCAGATACTTTTTTCAGAAGAAGAAGAAAAGATGGATGTCTCATGTAGAGAAGGATTTGTATTTATTTATGAAAAAGTCCAATCTCGATTAAAGTAACAAAATAGTTGCCATTAATATGGTATTTTGCTATTATTTCTCCAAAAAGAATCGTGTCTTGCAAGGACTCTTACAATTCTGTTATAACATTTTTCTCTGTTTTTAATTTTGAGACAGATATGTGTTATCCATGATTATACTCAACCTCATGTAATCTGTAGATCAACAAACTTCTGTTATTTTATCAGATTTTGAATTTGGATTTGTATATAGCTCTGGATTTATACACTCGTTTATAAGATTTATCATAACCTAAAACTTGTTTATTGTTTTTTGGTGATTATCCTGAACCCCTTAAGTCTTAATCCTATTAATTCTTCTTCCATTGTCTAGATACACTGAATTCTTTGGCCTGTTATATTTTTAGTGATTCTATTGTTACTTCTGGGAAGGATTTGTGTTTTTTCTATGCATTTGCTGAATCCCTTGTAAGAGTTGTCTTAACTTCAACTACACCTTTTATTATTTTTTGCGGTCTTGTATATTTCCGTGGATTTATGGATCTGTTATATGATTTGTCTCAACTCCAACAATTAAATTGGTTTTCTTTTAAATGATGCGCGTTTAGTGTATTATTGAGTAATGAGAATTATGCAAGTGAAGTGCCACTTAATTAATGAATTTGGATTAAAATAGTATTATTGCAGCTTATATGTAATATAATTGTTTCATTTATCTTCCTTCAGCTGTTGCCTTTCTTTTTCATTTTTATGCATGTGCTCCCCAAAATAAGTATAATCTTGCTGCTTCAACCAGAGTATCATCCAAGAACTTGTAAAATGCATTATGTACCAGTCTACTGTATATCTTGTTAGGCACTATAGAAAGTTGGCCTACGTTTTGATAAATCATTAATGTGGCTAATAAGCCTGAGAAGAGAAATCTGTAATATTAGTAAGAACAGCAATCTGGTTTTTCAAACAAATAGTTAAATGTTCTTATGTTGATTCATGGGTATTCATGTTTTTCAACCACATTCTATTTGTTTTATACTCTTTCCTTTAGATTTGTGCTCTTAATATTGAGTCTGCTTGTTCTTTTCAGATGATGGAAGGACTGGCTCGTTTGTTATAGGCAATGACCAGTTCTCTGCATCACTATTGGATCTTCCCACTGTTGTAGAGTCCTATAAAACTTTTGATGACAGTGCGTTGATAAAAACTGCAGACATTGGTCAAGTACGCCGGTCACTGTTTGTTAATTATTTTCAACTGTTCCATACATCTGCTTCAGCTGTAACATGACTGTGTTAACTTTTTTGAGCTGTGGCAGATGATAATGGTGACAGAGGATGGTGACAGCGTTCCAGATACAGTGGAGTATAGACACGGCCTTACCCCTCCAATGAGGGATGCTCGAAGGCGAAGATTTCGCCGGGAGCCAGATTTAAATGTACTAATGCCTAAAATTATTTCCTTCAATTGTTATTTTATCTCTCATTTGTTTGTCCTTTCATTGAATGCGATGTTTCTTTAACGTATTCTATATTATCTGCCCTGATTGTTTCTGAAGTATTTGTAAGTTACTCCTTATGATAATTAACATGGTATGTTTTGATTTTGCAGCCTGAGGTTGTCCGTCGTGTTGAGAAAGATTTGCAGAACATCATGGCTGGTGGAACTGCTGAGAATTTTAATATCCTTCAACATGTTATTCTTGGTTTAATGTAAGCAACAATGCCTATATGGTCAGTAGAGAAAAGGAAAAAGAATGAATTTCAAAACATCTATTTGGAATTTAGTAGAAAATCAAAACCGTCAATTGCTTATGGAATAAGTTAATGTCATAGATCAAATTTGTAGTTTTATGCCTTGATTTGCATCAAGAATCTCACTTGAGAGAACCAACCTCTTCTTTATTAGCATGTTTATCAGAATTTTTAGTTTGAATTTTAGTTATTATTTGTTGTTGTACATTGCAACGTTTTTGGCGACTGTCTATCTTTCAGTAACACAAATAAGTAACAGTACAGATTTGCTATATGTTCTTTATTCTCTTTAGAATGTAACATGGAGCTTCTGAGATCCTAGAAATCTCATTCAACGTTTCTTTGGTTTATTATTGGATGCTTTCCTGTTCATCTTTATTGCTAATACCTTGACTGAGTAACCAAGTGTTGCAATGGTTGAGCAAGAGGAAGATGGAGATGAAAATGCTCTAGTAAGCAAGAAAGGAAGACCTACACCTTCAGCTAAGCCTGATGTGCCAGAGGCTGGGACAGTTGGCGGGGAACCCGATGGCAGTGATTCTGATGAATCTGATGATTCAGTATAGATCAGAATTCTATTTGTCAGAGTTTGATATGTCAATAAAAAAGACATTGAGTCATATGTTTAAGTTGGTGAGTTAAGTAATGCTATGCCTGTACATATCTTTTAGAAATGGCCTCAGTGTAGTTTTCTTTCATTTCATGTATCGTCCCACAAGTTTCTGATGGGTAGTTCATGTTTGGTGTTGTCAGTTTATTTCAGTTCTGTATTATCTTCCGCAGTAGGTGGAGTTGAAAACTTGCTTGTCCTTTTTGCAGTATTGCAACATCATCCATGTATTTTCTCCTCAATTTCGTTTTTCTGTTTACTTTTAACTCATCCTGGGTTTCCCCTAATTTTAACAGTATTGTATACAGCTTTTAGGGCATAACTTGAACTCTTTTAATAAATTGTGCTCGGTGAAATCAGAGGTCGGATTTAGTTAAAGTTAGATATTGTTCTCTAATCTTAACCTTGTGATGGCTTGAACCACATGACATTTAAGTAAAATAAATGAGTTCTCCTATGGTACAATGTATATTTAATGACTAATTTTGTCCAACAAGACTGGGATTCAGTAAGGGTTAATTTCCATAAAGGGTCTTACACGTATGGTGTATGGGATGGTAAAAGCTGGTAGTAGTGTGGTTTTCACAATCATTATGGTGAGAGACAATTTTCTTCAACATTGTTTTTCTCTAGAGGCATTTATACGGTTGCATATTTTGAACTTTTAGTGGTATAGTAGTCTAAATTGTCGCAGAATTGATTTAATTACACAACTCCGGAATGATACGTTCACAAGTTTCTAGATGTCAACTTTGTGCCTTAATCCCTAAGTTGTTATTGGTTTTTTTGCCCAAATGTCCTGCAACCAATTTTTATGACCTTATTTTAACTGAAAGGTAAAGTTAGGATTTTGCAGAATGAAATGGTAGAAATTTAAGGTGATAGATTTTTACAGTTTCTTTTTAACATTAGGCTGTTGCAGAATGAATTGTTGGCCAAGTGGATGACGTGTTTAAGTGTTAATGTATGGTTTATGTAAATGATGGCTTGTTTTGTATCTCATATGATTCTTTTCAGTCTATTGACTATTGTCATCTTCTGTGCTACGAGAACCAGTAAATCTTTACATTAGATTGAAGTCATTGAACACTTAAGAGTAGTATATTTCCACGTTGTGCTTGTTATTCTTGCTTTAAGTATGCAGCACTTGACACTACAAACTGCAGTTTAGAAACAATTTATGTTCAATGAAACTTTGCTGGCTTCTGAAGATGTCATCAAATCGAATAGGTACGATCTGGACTAATGACTCTTTCTATGTAGTTGCTGTCTTAGCTTTGTTTGCCGACTAATGTTCTCATCACTCTGTTTTGCTGCAAAATCGTGACTCTGCATAATTGGTATTCAGTTGGTTACATCTTCCAAATTATAGTACGTGTTACTACTGCTGCCTTTCATAATCAAACGATGGTCCTCTGGAAGGCTTATGAACTGCAATTTTATCAATAACTCGATCAATTATTTGGCTCCCCCAACCAACAATAGAAAGGGTTTTCGTTTTAGATTACGTGTGAGTATCAAGTTTTCATTAAACAATTTTGAACATTGTGGATGCTTGTTTACTTTTCAGGTGAGTGCAGTGTTCTTTTGTTATTGGCATTATTAATTTGCTCTATGTGAAGGTAGGTTCAACAACTGTTTGTTATTTTTCGTTAATTGTGCAGTTGACATTGAAGCTTAGTTGTCCATTGTTTTGATGTTTTAGAAAAGAGTTTTCATTTTAGATTACATGTGAGTATCAAGTTTTCATTAAACAATTTTGAACATTGTGGATGCTTGTTTACTTTTCAGGTGAGTGCAGGGTTCTTTAGCTATTGGCATTATTAATTTGCTCCATGTGAAGCTAGGTTCAACAACTGTGTTATTTTTCGTTAATCGTGCATTTGACATTGAAGCCTAATTGTCCATTGTCTTGATAATATGCTGGAGGCAAGTTGCAAAAGCAGATGCAATGTGAAGGAGTAATGCTTCATGTACAGAAGCATTACTCACAGGGGCTTTACAGGCCCCTCACAAAGCGTGGGCCTGCCCTTTTTTTTCTTTTTAAAAAATACGTGTGCTGTAAAGCCCCTGTGAGTAATGCTTCTGTTGTGAAGCTATATTGTGACGATATGTGTCAGGCAATTTGTGCATTTGAATATTCTATAATACTCGCTGTTGGACTGGTTTATACTTTCTTCTTATCCTTTGAAAGGTTTTGGAGTTGACATTATACACTACACATGAAGGTTTTGAACTTTGATTATTACTTTATTTATCTGAGACTGAGCAAGGCCTGGACTTTTGTATAAATTAAAGGTCTATGAAGGACTAAAAGTCAACAACTTGCTGGAAAGGAATATGGAAATTTGTGTTGCAACTTGCAAAGTGTAGCTTGTGAGTTGTCTTGCGTTTAACAAATTGAGGAATGTGATCAAACATGGAGCAAATTAGTTGGTTTTCACCTGATTATGAATTGTTTAGTCTGTACAATTAGAGCTTGTTTGAAATAGATTTTGGGAAAGGTGGTTTTTTTTTTGGTAAGAATTCGTGGTTAAAAAGAAGGGAAAAATAATGGGTTCTCGTGCAAAATTATTTTATTGGAAAAGTATGTGAATGAAAATGAGTTTTAAAGAATCTTTACCAAATAAGGGCTAGATAATACCATTAATTTGAAGTAGCTGAAGTAGCTTAAAGGCTTATTAACTGTTGTTTTAGCTTAAACTTAAAACAGCATGTATCAAGCCCCCTGTTTTAGTTTCATTCAAATGTATTTTATGGTAAAGATTAAAGGTTGTTGTATCACAGGAACTCTTAGACTCGACAAGTTGCCTCGTCTTTTTTGTTTTTTAAATCTTTTATTTGTCTTATAGAGTAGGATAAAATGCCCGGTTATTTGAATGTATTCACGCTATGATATGTTTGATATAGTAGATTGGATGATACTGTAAAATATTATACCTGTGTCTCATTTACATGATTGAAATGTCTCGATTATACAAGAACTTGCTTGACAAGCTCTTTGGTGTTTGATCTACTAACTTGTTCCTCAAGCATCCTTTAGATTGTTTTTTCACTGTGTGTGAGTGAGAGAGCTGCTGACGTGTGTGACCATAAGGTCAATGGAGGGTTTTCCTATGACCTACCATTAATGATAAGATGGTGTTGATGAATTTGTAATTTAGTGAACGGCCCTAATTAATAAACCCCGGGCTTCAGTGTCCTACCTGCACCGTCGGTTGTATGGACGGTGATAGTTAAGACGGGCCATACCTTAATGGAATACTACCCCCCTATCAATGGACGACCCAACACCGTTGACTTGGGACTTGAGTTGTAACACGATAATGGATTTAACAACTCACGTTTATTTTTTATTTTTATTTTCTAATGAATATTTTTTGTGAACCCAAAAAGAGGGGCAAGTATATGTGTTTGGACTTGAATTAAAAAATAATTGCCCGTTTTAGCACTATGAGAAAAAAAGGCAAATTAAACAATAAAATTAGGAGTGTTGGACAATGTCATGTTTCCCTGAGGCGGGCATACATTGTTAATTACTTCCTTTAGCCCTTTTAGGGGATAGTGAGTGACGTGTTAAGACAGTATTCACCTAAATTAAATTTGTTTTGTCAAATAAACAAATAATTAATGTAAGTGTAGTATCTTTTAAGATAGACATCAGTCTATTAATTTTGTCTAAAAATACAGCTATACATAAGTTGAAGATCCTAAAGATCGACTCCCAATTGTTTTATGGATAATGTTTCCAAAAGATTAATAGGGTAAAAGTTTTTCGACAAGCAATCAATCGTGAAATGGTCATTTTTCATTTTTCAAGATTGTTTGAAACTTAACTTGCTATAGTAGATATATTAATCTTGAGACCAAGATTTTTATGTCAATGTGATTGTGTTCATTTGATCGTCTCTGGACGTCGTAACAACAAACTAATCTATAAAAACTTGAATTCGAATACAAGGATAACGATTAACAAAACTTTACCTTGTAGACATAATTGGATGAATGATCGTTAAATATACAATATTAATTAGAAAAAGATTGACAACAACACCAATTCAAGCTACGTGCATGTTTATTAGTTGAACCCACCACCCTTACTCTAATTTTATAGTCACATTACATACCAAGTTTAATAACGTGTCACGGCTTCAACCATAGCTAAGGGAGCTTAAGATTCTTCATTGAAAAAGTAAAAAATAACACAAAAATTGTGAAGAACCTACAATGTGAATACTTACATGATTAGTTGTGTCTGTCTGCCTGTCGGTCGAAAAATTAATTTTATACCACATGGCTCAGCTCCATCACAAAACGTGGAGGATTATTATTCCACACCGTAGTACGGTACAACGTACCCATCTTGTGCTTGCATGGAGATCTGAAAAAACAGTTGGAATGACAATATAAACCAATAAATATAATGTTTTGGCTCAATTTTACCCAAAAAATGCATTTTGAAATAGTAACAAGTTGAAGAATATGTGATTTAAAAACATGAAAAAAAATTGGATTTATGCATAAAATTATTTTATGAAAGAATGTACCGTTAAAAATGAAAATGTTGGTTCAATTAATTTTACTTGAAAAGTTTTTAACTTTTGTTGCTCAACGGAATATTCTATACATGTAACTATTTTATTTCGTTGATTATATTCCTGAGTACAATGCTGTCAAGTGTCTCTTTTTCAAAAATTGCTCAAATATTCTAGGGATGTGAAAGAAATCAATCGATAAATCTGAATTAATTCCTTCAAAACCCTATTTCAGCCCATTATTCTCAAAATTCATTTTTTCAATACTTATTTTCAACTACACATTATTCTATAAAATAATTTTATACGCAAACTTAAAATTTTTCCTTATTTTTCAACCATACGTTCTCCAACTGTTTACCATTTCAAAATGCATTTTCTTGATAAAATGGAGTCCAAACAGGTTGTAGTTACTTCAAAA